TTTTAAAGATTTTATTTATTTGACAGAGAGAGAGGGAGAGAGGGAACACAAGCAGGGGGAGTGGGAGAGGGAGAAGCAGGCTTCCCGCAGAGCAGAGAGCCCGATGTGGGGCTCGATCCCAGGACGCTGGGATCATGACCTGAGCCGAAGGCAGACGCTTAACGACTGAGCCACCCAGGCGCCCTGATGTGCCTCCTTTTTGATTCCCTCCCTCCGGTCTATTTGTCCTTGATTTCCTGAGTGGAGGGGAGCCGCCCAGCACATGGTAGACACCACACCAGAGCACTCTTCACAGAGAGTGTTTTCTTGACTAATTAGCAGTTTGCTTCTAGAACTTTCTGTTCATGCCATATGTATAAGGAAATAATTACTTCTGGTAAGAGAATACCCCTTTCTTTTCTCTTTTAAAAATCAATGTGAGTAAGGAAAACATCTATGGCCCCCGTTCAAGGTACCACACGTTTCTAATTATCCAAGACCTAGTTATTTTCCAGGGCTATATTTCTATGGCAATACCAAAAACATTATTTTTCCTAATTATATTACAGTTGATTTTCAGCTCATTAAAAACATCTGGTAAAAGTAAACCAATATGTGTTTTTATAACCCACAGTGTTCCTTAGTGTTCATTCTGCCCTGGCCCTTTGGCAAGCACACGTGTGTGCAGTGTAAGCACCTCAGTGCCAGGCCGGCCTACCTGTCAGGCAAATGCCCTTGCTGCTGTTGCAGAGGTCCACCATCACTCGGATCTGCGGGGAGAGAGGGTGGTTAATAGCAGCACAGAAGACAGTGGGCCCTGAACTTGACCTTTATCCAGACGAGAGCAGTTATAAACATTCACAAAGTAACCTCAGGAGAACATACAAAAGTCTGAGGAAAACTTAACCTCAGCTGAAAGAGAACCTCTTAAAAGACCTAAAGATACATGATAACAGAAGTTCATCTATCAATATTGTCAACCAAATATCCTTGATTTCTATCCAACTCTGAGAGGACAGAGGATGGCGAAGGAATTGCTAAATCCAGCTTTCGAGGCTGTCATGAACCAGCCCTCCAGCATCTGAAGGGCTCAATCTGCATGGGGGTTGAATAAAGAGGGTAGGCTTGGTGGTTGGGAGTAAGCACCTATTAGCTGGGCGAGCACAGGCAAGGTACTCAACCTCTGGACACTTTGGTTTCCTCTGAAAAGTGTAAACACTATAAGCACCTGTCTTGAGTTCTGTCCCTGGCACATGGATGCTGCCCCAGATGGGAGTCATTCTCGTGCCTTGTGCATAATGCCTATTCATCGCTGGATGGCCACCTGCGGTAGGCGGTCGCTGCAGCATGGTATGAGCCTGGTATCTGGTTTCCCCACACCCATTCTGCAGCCCCTTCCCCCCGTCCACTCTCCATGCTGCTCCCAGAGAACGTCACAAAAACCAAATCTGAGTGGGTGAGCCCTGATTCACATACTCTTGTGATTCCTTGCTGCCCTAAAGATAGAACAAAAGTCCTCCTTCTCTGGACTCATCTCACACCACTCCCTTTTCCCTTTCTGTCTTCCAGCTACACTTTGCCTCAGTTTGCTGACCCACAAAATGGAGATAGGAACAGTGCTTACTTCTTAGGATTGTTGTGAAGAGTAAGTGAAATCATTTTATGTGAAGTTCTTAGAACAATCTCGGAAGCACCCACAAAAGTATCTTCCATTTTGTGGAGGCAAAAGAGAGTGTAGACAGAAGCATGGATTCTGAAGTCAGCCTGCCTATGTTCAAATCATGGCTTTGCCAGTCACAAGCAGTGTGATCGGAGGGCACTTACTTAACCTCTCTGTGCTTCTGTGTTCTTACCTGTAAATGGAGTTAATAGCACCTACCTTATACCATGGTTATGTGGATTAAATTAGCGAATACATGCAACACACTCAGAGCAGGACCCGGCACATATAGTAAGCACACGCTATTTATGCTATTGTGTTAGATAGTTCCTTAAACATGCCAAGAATGACGTAATTTATCAATTTACCATCCAACTGTTTTCAACTTATAGATTCAGTAATTTTTAGACCCCAATAATGTGCCACTTCAAAACTTTGGAGAGAACTTATTAAGAAATGGATTTGAGACAGCTGGATAGACATCTGGGGGGAAAACAAAAAGTTGAATCCTTCCTTCACTCCTTACACTAAATAAGTCCATTAAGCAATATTGATAAAACAGTTAAAAGTGAAAAACAAACTTAGAAAAGCACTGGAAGAAAACCTGGGGAAAAATTTATAATGGCATTAGAGTAGGAAAGAATTTTCCAAGAAAGAAACAACCCCCATACTATATAGGAAGAATGTATAAATTCGACTGTCTAATAATTTTAAATTTCGGCAAGAGGTGAAATACTATAAGCCAATAACAAATGAGAACTATGGACCTTAGAAAACAATTGCAAAGGGCTAGTATATAAAGAGCTGTTACAAAGCAATAAGGAACAAGAAACCAAAAAAAAATGGACAGTGGGCTCAAACAGGAAGTTCACAGAGAAAAAAAAAAAAAGAGTGCCTCATTTTCACTTACAGTTAAAGAAATACATTCAAATGATGAAATGCTGTTTCCTACCTCTTAGATTTGTTAATAAAAAGGCTAACAGAGCACTTCTCATGGGAGTGGCCAGAAGAGCTGCACTCTCTCGACCTGTTGATCAAGTATGAAGGCATACTATCCCTTTGGAGGGCATTTTGGCAATAACTACTAAAATTTAAGTGGGTCTACCTTCTGATCCATCAATTGCACTTTGGGATTTATTCTTCGGATATATTCATATACGCGTGAGGAGATAGAAGTACAAAGATGGTCATTGCAGAAATGTGGGCAAGAGCAAAAACAACCTAAATATTTATCAGAGGGTCTTGTGAAATGAAGTGTAGCATACCCATAGAATGAAATATAGTGAAAAAGAATGCCTTTAAATCTGTAAAAATAACATTGAAATAGCTCCAAGATAAATGAAAAAAATGCAAAGTACCGAGCAGCATGTGTAATGTCCTCTCATTTATGTAAGAAAAGTGGTGTGCACACAAATGTTTCTATATGCTTCTCTCTTGCTGCTTTCAAGATTCTCTGTTTTTGGCTTTCCAGCATATGTATGGAAAGAAACCTAAAAAGCCTCAAGTGAGGGGGGAATGGAGGACCAGGGTGGGAGGAAGCCGTACTAAACATGATACGCCCTTTTGTTTCATTGGAAATTTTCACTGATCACTCTTTCAATTAAACTCTTTCTTAAAAGAACATGTTTTGATTTGAGGGGAAAGATTGTTTGGTCTTCTACCTAGGCTTCGTCTGTTTGCTAGGAGATCCAGAGGAACTGCATCTACTTTGTCAAGTATATCAACAGGTATTTATTGATGGCTTTGAAATTTATTGTGAAACATACATCTCACAAATATATCAAATGTGCACAATTTAAAGATGAGTCATAAAGCAAACATGTATATTCTGCCCCTCCAGGGGTAAAAAGCTGGAGGTGCTTCTTCCTGTAACATACCAGCCCCATCAACTCTGAGACAAAGTATACTGTGCAGTGTTCCTCTCCCTTTCATACAAGTCAGAATGCAGAGCTTAGAGAGGTGACATCATTTACTCAAGGTCACATCAGTTGCTTGGAGCAGAGCTGGACTCAACTCTAGCTCTCCTGATGCCAGGTCTGCTGTGCTTTCGATTATGGCTCTGATGATCCGCTCAACACAACCAGGCAGAAGAAATTTCGACTCGTTATTTTTAGTCATTTTCATAAATGAATGTAATCAGCTGCACTATGGACAAGATTTATTATCTTAAAAAATGTATAATTGCCCATTGAGAGAACCATTAAAGACTTCACAATGCTTCATTTGTTGCCTGGGGGATCACAGCAGAGGGAGTAGTTTGAAACAACAGAAGCATCAATAGGGAAAATTAGCCTTTCTCTTTCCTCCTCATCACCGGTCTGGAGTAGGCACAGTGTCTATAAAAGACGACAAAGAAAGAATCTTCATTTCCTGACCTTTGGTCTCCATTTATATGCTAAATATCCATTCAGATATGTACCAGTAAATTGTGTTAATCTTAATGCAGAAATATTCCTCTAACAGACTTGGGCTATATAGAAGGTTGTACCAGGGGGAAACATAGGGTATGAAAAGTTGTGGCCAGCAGAAAGTCAGAAACTGTCTTTTCTGATAGTGATTAAGAACTTGGATCAGAATAAGAGAATTCAAAATTGGTTGTCACACAACCTAGGTTGCCAAATTATGGAATCACATTTGGCGTAGAGAGCTTTCTAAATCTTAATGCAGGACTTGAGAATGGTGAAGCTGGAAGAGAACTTATAGCTCATTGTCCTGGGGGTGTCAGGCCCAATCCAAGATGTGGCCCTGTCCCCTCCCAGAGTCCGGCTCCCACCACTTTCCCCTGTCACTCTGCTCCAGTCACACTGACTGTCTTCTCTGTCTTTGCTGTGCCTGTAGGCAGTGCTCACATCTTTGCTGAGACCTCAGACCAAATGTCACCTCATCAGGAACACTTTCCCTGACTCCCCAACTGAAAATAGCCCTAGGGGCCACTCTCCATCACCTCACCTGGATTTTTGTCTCTGTAACGCTCATCATTATCCAATATTATCTTACTTATGTCTTCATTTATTTATTATCTGCCCCTGCCTTGCAAAGAATGGAAGCATTTTGAGAGAATTTGCGCTTTGTTTTGTCTCTATCCTCTGTGTATTAAATACACACTCTCCACTGGGGAGATACAGTTCAAGGAAGACAGTACGTCAGTGGTCTCCAAGGGAGACCTGACCTTGACAGAAGGTGACAATAAATTGCTAACCTGGGTTTATGATGTGAGAATCTGATGGTGTTGGGAAGAGGATGGGTGAGATGCAGAAAAATCTCCATAGCAGCAGTGGAAAGGCTCTCCCACCCCACAGACACTATTTGGAGGACACATTTTAGGGGAACCAATGTCTGTCACTCTCAGTGTAATATAAAGAATGGTACCCCTGAGCGCTCAGGCTTAGTGCACCCTTGGTCAACATGTCACCGAGGCAGAATCATCTCCCCAGGAGAAATACCATGGCCTGTCGGGGTCATCTCTCCCCAGTAGGACCATCAATACAGTGATGGACAGGGACACGCTGTATGGGGACTTGTTCTTAGCAGTGACAACATATGGGTGATGGGAGAAAAAATAGCCAAAAATGGGAGGGAGGGCCTCGGGTTCCTCCCCATGACAGTTCTTGGCTTTGCTTGAGAAAGAATTCAAGAGCAAGTCATTTAGAAGGAGGGCCAAAGATTTATCAAGTATAGAAGTAAGAAAGAAGCTACTTCATAGACAAAGTAGCAGCCTCTCTTAGGAGGATCGCCCTTTGCCTATGACCAAAAGCTTTATATGTTTTTAAAATTAGTTAAGGAAGGGGCTTACTCTTTAACTTTGGATTTATCATTCACATTGGGCACTTAGTTTTTCCATGGTCCTAGGGTTGTGAAATTACCTACGGGGAACAATTTTAAGAATGTCCAGCTTTTGTGGCTTTTATCGTCTGGTGGTCTTCCATGAGTCAGATCTTCTGACTTTTTTTTAATGACTTGCTGGTTTTTAAGTGAAGGGTCAGCCTAAAACCAAAATGGCTTTATTTTGGTTAACTTATCTCCTGCATCTCCCTTCCCTCCTGCCTCAAAGTGGCTTGCTCAGGGATCTTATGTAACTGAGTTTCAACTTTTCCAGAAGTGTTAATCCGG